GGTGTATGCACACATACACTATATACATCTGCACATACACACATTGTACCTTACATTTCATTTCGAATGAATCAACAATATCAAAACAAAACAGGTGAAAGTTTGAAACTGTCTGGAAATGGGAGATTTTGCTTCATTCTGAGGGGACGCCTTAAAACAACTTAGGCTTGCTTGAAAGTTCTATGAATCTGTCAGTGGACCTGAGGGCTCTTTCATACCAACACTAGGCTTGGCAGCGTAAGTCCATAGCACTGAATGTCCATGGCCACATTGCCTGGCTTTATTCCAGGCATTTAAAAGCTCCACAAGGTTATTACTGTCCTGGTACTACCAAATTAATCATGACCACAAGGCTGCCACCTGGCCATAGCTGGGCAATGTCCAACCACTGGACTACAAAGCGCAGAGTTGCCAAAGCCCAAATAATATTTAACGAAAGTGTATCAGCTTCAACAGGCAAGCTCAAGGGGTCTCCAGCATCCATCATCATCGCTAGCTGTAGAACCCAAGCATGTACATGGGCTGCAGCACATCCCTCTTGCCACAAACCCTTTTTCAGGCATTTGATCCAGCAGCTCCCCTAACACACCAGAGAAGCCCCAACATTGGCCTGGAGAAGGACCCTCATATACCACCTCACCCCAGTACAAGTTACTTAAAGTAGAATTAAAGCTTCAGCGGGTAACATTGTGGGAACTCTTCTCACTGTAGCCCACGACCCACTGATTAGAGTGTTCACCTGAGCGGCAGATGAACCCTCTTCAAACTCCCTTCTCATGAGTCAGGGGAAAATTAAGATGGTACAAATGGCCAGACAGGGTCAGATCAATGATCCTGCTAGTTCAGTCACCCATCTTCTAACAGTGGCCAATGCCAGAAGCTTCAAAAGCAATGGACAGAGGAGCACAGGACTTCGTCCCTGACTGTCTTGGCTAATAGCCTTTTGTGGAGCCATTCGCCATGCAATTGCTCACTTTTTTACTGAATCCACATACAGGTTGGCCTTCATGACATTGACTAGCAAGGAATGCCACATGCTGACTGTGCCTTGCAAGAAGACGCCCCGCCCCACCTTTGGTTTGGTTTAAATCCACTGCCCATTCATGTGCTCGGATCACCCTTACTCTTGTGTCATGTGAAGTAGGGATGTTAAATTTCGATTAACTAATCGAATAGTCGATGGGATTTCCATGAACTATTCAATTAGTCAATAAGGACTAGCACGTTCTGCCTTTGAAATGCTCAAGAGTCCGCTGGCCCTGGGTTCCACACTGTGTTCCAACTTTGAAATGAACAAGAGTCCCTGCTGACCTCAGGCTCCATGCAGGGCTTCCGCTTTGAAATGTACAAGAGCCCCAGCAGGGACTCTTGTACATTGGGCTCGTGTACATTTCAAAGTTGGCCACCATTGCACCTGTGCCCCCTCCCACAGAGCTGGAGCTGGGGGGAGCTGGCTTTTTGTGATAGAGGCAGCAAGGGGGAGGAGGGAAGTGACTAGTCACTTATATCCCTAATGTGAAGAAGTGAATAGCATGTCCTTATTCACTTCTCCACATAACTTATAGAGCTCTAGCATATCCTGCCTTTGTAATGGCTTTCCCATGCTGAAATGGGAGTCAGGCTTCCTTTCCCCATAGTCACAAGTGAGGTCCCCTAACCACTAAGCTAAAAGTTACATGGTAGGTCTCAACTTCATGGCAGGTCTCCCCTCTCACCTCATTTATTTGGTGGGGCATTCAAAAGTATCTCACAAGTGAGGCTGCATTATTCTGTTATTATGATCAGTCAAGATTAGGGATGTGAAGGACTAGTCGATAGGATAGTCAACTAGTCGCTTCCCCCCCTCCGCCCCTTGCTGCCTCTCTCAGATAGAGACAGCAAGGGGAGGAGGAAGAAGAGGGGGTACTTCAAGCGGCAGGGCTGCTGGAAGCCTGGGGCCAGACCCAAGGCTCCATGTGGCGCTGCCGCTTTGAAATGCTGTGTGCAGCCCAAGGCCAGCTGATCCTGGGATCCATGCGATGCTGCCGCTTTGAAATGCTGCAGGGAGCCTGATATCAGGCTGCACACGTTTCAAAGCAGCAGTGCCATGTGAAGCCCAGGATTATGTACCAAGCTGAAGTCTTAACTATGGAATAGAGAGCAATGCTTTCATAATTATTTATAGTACAGTAATATCAAAGTGTGCTAATCGATTTCTAAATATATAGCAAGACAAATCATTTTGGTACAAAATGCAGTCACTGTCAGATCTAGTTTAGCAAAATATAAGATAAATAGTCTGCTAGGCAAGAAATGTAGCACTTCTGTACTATAAGATGTTAACTGGAAGCCAGAGAATTTGCAGTCTATAATAATATGCATGTATTATACATTGTAGTCAACAACAGGCATCAGCTGATCATAGATCTGGAATACTATTTAAATCCCAAAAAAACTTCACCTTCAGACATTCTGGGACATTCCTGCAAAATGATTACCAATTTCTTTCAAATTGCAGTAATCACTAAAAGAAACTGAACACCAAAAGCTTTGGTTGTTGGCAGTTGCCTCATCTTAACAAATCTTTTGAGATAAGCCAAGACTTCTGCCTTTCTGGAACACTGTCTTTAACTAGTTTAATATGAATAACCCACTTTTATAGGCACATTTTCTCCAAAGTAAGAGACAAGAGAGGCAAGCTTAGAATTCTTATGGTAATGACAAGAAAATTATCATGATCATAATTAGTGCTGCATGAAATGTGTGTGTGTCTTTCTGTCTCTGTGTGTGTTTGCGAGTCCATTTATTCAAGAACTCCTCCTAAATAGTAAGTTAGGGCCACCAAATTTGGTAAGCAGTTTCCTCTTCTCCTAACCTAAAGCAAGGTGAAGGTCTGGTGTTCCAGGACAACCAGAAGCCCTGAGAAAAGGACAGTTTTCCATAACATGCAATGGAGGGACTGCTGTTCGAAGGTACATATGAGAGTGGCCACTGGGGGCAGCAAGCCCACAGGAGAGAGCTATTCTGCAGTGTCCATTGGGGATAGCCATAGCACCCAGGAAGTGGCCAGCAGAGTTGGGGTTCTGCCACCTTGCCTGCCAGCACACCAAGTAAATAGCCTCCTCACACCAAACTCTTCCCCCCCCTCCCGGCCTTTGGCTGCAGTTTTGGCAGGGGGAAGGCCCTGAGTGGCCTGAGGAGGCTTGGGGAGAAAGAGGGCCCCTGGCAGCCAGGGGAGACACTGGGAGGAGAAAACGCCCTTGCTGGCCAGAGGGGCTGAGGGGATGGGGAGGGGGGAGAACCTTAAACAACTCCGGTGGGCTGGGGGGGGAGAGGAAATGCTCGTGCCAGATGGGACACCCTGCCCTGAGCCCCAGACCTACATTTCTATGATTCAACAGGACAAACTGAGGAAGTCCCACGAGACATCCCATAGTCCCATGATTAAAGTACTCATCTGTGAGGTAGCAGACCTCTGTTTAAATCCCTTCTCCTTAGGGGATGAGAGGGGATGAATTAGGAGTTTCCCACATCCCAAGTGAGTACCTAACTGCTGGGCTAAAGATTATGAAGCAGGACCTCCTCCCCCTCCCTGGCATTTTGTGTAAACTCACCTGTAGGGCCCAGACTCAGAGCATGGTTACCAGATCAAGCCCTACAGCTGAAGCAGGTGGGAGAATGCTTGTTTTCCTATGATTTGTGCATCACTCCAGCATTTATGCATCCAGATGCCCAGCATAGGGCAGCAATGTGCATGCTCAGAGGAAGCAATGTAGGTACTTAGAGAAATTTAACTTCAAACATGTAGGTGTCAAGTGAGTTTAGGTTCCTACAGCATTTGGTGATAACTGAGCAGGCATTCTGTGAATCACAGTGGGGTCTGATTCTGGGATTAAGCTGCCTAAGCCATTTTGTGCCTCTAGTTGAGAAATGTACTTTTCTGTGTCTTATCCTCTGCTTTTAAGGTGTGGTGCTGATGAGTGCTAGACAGCTACCAGTTCACACGGACATCCTCTGGAGCTGCAAGTGCTCAATATCTCTCAGGATCAGGCCCTTGTTACAAACCTGTCTCTTGCTGATAAAATTCCAGACTCTTCAAAAGTGCAGCTCTGTAGGTTCCCATGGAAACAAAGTCCATTACTTTTTAGGTTGCCACCAGTAGACTGCAAAAATGTTAGCGTTTACAGGCTGTCGGTCTGTAAAATGAAAGCCATGATTCTTCTGAGTACAAACATGGAACTCTGTCAATTGATGCCCAAGCCAAAAATAAAATCATTCAATAAGCGTTATTCTGCTGCACTGCTTACTGAGATTTCAACTCTGATCTTGTTTTCAAGCTGCATTCACCCAGGCATCTGAATAAGCAGGTAAACTAGATGTGCGCTCACAGAAGAGTAGAACTGGAAGGGACCTTGAGAAGCCATCAAGTCTAGTCCACTGCCTTCAGGGCAGGACCAAGCACCAACGACATCATCCCTGCTAGATGTCTGTCTTAACCTGATGGGCAGGGTTGGGACCCCTGGGATGTCACCTGAGGTGCTTAGAACCACTGAGCCCCCTCCTCTGGCAGCCTGAATAGCTCAGAGCTGCTTGATGCTTTATCAGGGAAGGCTTTACACCGCAGTATTTGAGATCTCCAGTCCCATCCGGATCACTCTAGGGGCTGATTCTGTGACTCTGCGGATCCCACCTGGGTCTGTCTGGCTCTGTCAGCCAGTATTCGCGCTCTTCTCCCGAATGAACTGCGGTGTCGTTGAGAAGAACGGGCTGTTTGGCACCTAGCAGAGACCTGGCCGCGTGGCAGCGCCTGGGGGGTAAGCAGAGGGTTGGAAATAACGCCCAGTCCCAGCCCCACGCCCGCGGGGGGCAGCAACTAACCCCTCCCCCAGCGTTAACCTGCCTGCCACTCCTCCTGCCTGCAACTACTGGGACTGGGCCCAAGAGCGTCTCCTAGCAACGAGGAAAAGGGATTCCCCCTCTGCCGCGCGGCGCCTGCGTACAAAGCAGCTCGGTGCCGCCCCCGTGTCGTCTTTCCTACCGTCACTTCCGGCGCTCCAGAGCGGCGCGGTGTTACTGCCTGAGCTGTGCAGCTGCCGGAGGGGCGGGTGAGTGAGGCACTTGCCTGGGGATAGACGCCGCAGTTTCGTTCTGCGCGTGTCTCTCCATTGTGGGGCGGGGGAGACGCGCTCCAGGCTCCTGCTGTGTAATCGCCGGGCTGCCTGCCCCAGGGGCTCACCGGGGCCCCCACCGCTCTCCGAGCCCTAGGCCGGGGTTGGGGGTCTTCAGCCCCTCCCTCATAGAAGTGGTGGTGTCGCTGCGCTGGCGCTTAGTTTTCGCTGCCCGCTCAGAGTTGTATAGCAGTTTAGAGCTGGGAAAATAACTTCTGATTCCTATTATTCAACTGCACCATGTAGCAGGGGCCGGAAAGGGGAGTCCCTGGCATTCATGCTAAAATTCGACACTCTCCGCACGGGACTTAACAAAGACCCCAGCTATCTTACCCATTACAAAGATAGCTTCCCCAGTTATCACCTCTAGCACTGATAGAAAATGGGGTTTTAGTGTTTCCTGTTGCTGTCTAAAAGGGAACATATGCCCAGATTTGTAATTTGCGTTGGTATTCTCTTTAAAGTGCAAAGATTTTCTGCATCCTGTAAGTGGAAGTTGATATGAAGCACCTGCCTTCTTTTTTAAATTGTTTGTGTGACTAACTGCCTGTATACCTGAGAAACTTAACATGTGCATATAAACACTAATTCGTTTTTATTTAGCTCTCCCCAGTTTACTGTGGAAATTGTTTGTGTGATTAACTGCCTGGTGCATATAAACACTAATTCGTTTTTATTTAGCTCTCCCCAGTTTACTGTGGCACTAGATCAAGTGACACCCTCAAGATTAATGAAGCCATGATAAATGAGCTCCAAAAAGGTCATTAACCAATGCAATGTTTGTGTGTGAATAAACTTGAAGCTATAGGCAATCACAGTATTTATCAAGAACAAGACATTTACAATTTTATTTTATTTTGCCAGTAATAAAAATGTCAGCACCATCAATGGAGGAAAGGAAAGCTTGCTGGGGAGCCAGGGATGAATACTGGAAATGCTTAGATGAAAATACAGAAGATGCAGCTAGGTGTCAGAAGCTTAGATGTTCTTTTGAGTCTAGGTGCCCTCAGCAATGGGTGAGTGCTAGTAGCTTTTCATCAGTCATAAGATGCAACCTGAGTTGTGGTGTAACACACACTGCTTCCCTCTCTTTTTTTCAGTTATGTAACTATCCAGAATACTCATTTGTGTATTGGTAACATTCACAAATATGAATAATGTACTACAAATTAACTTTTGCTACACAGCAAGCGCAAAGCATTAGTACTGTAGATCCTCTTAAAGATTGGGTATTTGTTTCATGGAATGGTCCATTAAAACAAACAAAAGAATATGTATTAAACCCAGAAGACTGCCTGTTCAGATAGTTGAAGTGCATTTCATCTTAAGTTACATGGATATACCACTGGAAGGGAACTCCAGAAACATCCTATCAACTCCCAGAGACAGGGAAATTAATGGATAATATTGCATAAGTGAAAACACTGGTCTCAAGGGGAGAATACTCATAATAGTGGCAAGACTTGCAATTGTATGGCACCTGGAGACTGTTTTATGATGTGCTGTATCAAATTTTTTTCTGGTTCAACAACTGAGGTCATATTCTAAATAATTAACACACACACACTTGACCAAACTGAAAAGTTGTGTATATTTAAATAATGATCAAAGACTGTTCTTTCCTCACTCCTGTTCGATGTCTGAATAAGAACTTTACATGTTGGAGTCTCATACTACACTAGTTTGCTTTGATGAACGTAAGTTGTTTTTTTTTTTTTTTTTTAAACAGGTAAAATACTTTGACAAAAGAAGAGACTTTTTAAAATATAAAGAACAGCTTCAAGCAGGAGAATATCAGCCTTCGGGTACTACTGAAAAGTCATAGCTGTGCATCAACTTATGAACGAATAATCTTATGGAAAAGAAGGACTGAAATGTGAAAAAAGTTCCTTGAGTCAAAAATAACTAGTAACTTACACTGTATGTCTAGAAATTCATGCTGCTTTTCTTGTTGAAATGCCTCATTTTTATGTGAGAACAGTAATTAAATGAAAAAGTGAGTGTAAGAATGACTGTAAGAATGTATCAAAGAAAGATGGTATTTTTCATGATTGTGTAACTAGGATGCAAAACAGGGCTACCCAGAAATCAATGCACTGAATTATAAGTTTATATTATAGGGAGACTATTAAACTGTTTTCAGATTAGTTTTTCTATGCAAATGAACTATTCTAAAAAGCTCCTCCCTTCTCCCTCCCTCTGAGGATATGTCAGTATAAGTGAGCAGATAAAAATTGTCAGTAACTTTTGTCTGCTGTCTTACAGTATGGTTAGGCTTTAAATGAAGATCAAAAGATTTAAATCACTGCAGCCCATTTCTAACGTAGCTGGTCTTCATTTAGGTATGTTTTTAAACATCTGCACAATTCTAGTTGAGATTCCTATGCCACTAATGTAGGCACACAGTTTCTCAATCATTAGTATGTGTCTGATGTGAAAAAATACAATGATACGGGTGTGTGTTTACGTCCCCAGTTGTATAATTTGATGGCACTGATATAAACTCCTCCTGTTTTATTCACAATGGATTTGCTTCTGTAAAGGTCTGTTTTATCATTAATGAGATAATCCTGAGGCAAATTAGCACCTGTTTTAATATTGGCATTTTCCAAATTGTCAGTGAAAAATGCTTAAAGTGCTTTGTAGTAAGACAGGGACCTACAGTTAAACAGATAAGCTACTAAGCATAGAGTTTACTAGGAACAGCAAACATTGCTTAGGTTTTTAAAAGGTTAATATTTATAGACATGGTTTATCCCATATTCCTAAATCACTCCTTTTCTTGATGCAAAAGACCATAACATCCTCTAGCAACCTACCAAAATTTCAGTTTACTTCTAAACATGTGATCAGTTCAAAGTCTGCAGTACATTGAAAATTTAGGGAGACTAAAAAAATTTGAATTTAATATGAATAAGACCACCGCAAGGAATAACTATTTTGTTCTTATTGTCAGTTTTTTAAATTCATCTAACACATGCATAATTTTAACTATTTTGTTCTTCTTGTCAGTTTTTTAAATTCATCTAACACATGCATAATTTCAAGGCCACTGCACCTAGATGCTGCAGAAAACTTACAGTACCATTTTAGAGACTACACCAAAGATGTAAACCACTTCAACTTCAGCTACAGCTGTTGAACCAGAATGATAGCTATAGTAAAGACCCTACATTTTGAAGTACACTATATGAAATGTCAACGAGTTGTGTGTTTAAGAGGCACTAACTCTGGTTGCTTGCACTGTAATAAGACAGCTACACGTACGTAAACAATACAAACAAGACTATTTATTACCAATTAGATAATACATTAAGAATAAGACAACTACACGTACGTAAACAATACAAACGACTATTTATTACCAATTAGATAATACATTAAGGCATTTAAAAACAATTTTTGTATTAGACAACACAGGTGTAAGGGCATGCAAAATTTAAAAACATCACATTCATCCTGAGTCTATAAATATTCCATGTATTTAAAAATATTTTAAAGCACCATAAAAAAGCCATCCAGCTGCATTACAAATAAGGCACCAAGACTCTTTTAGTTATTTTAGTTGGTTTTGCTTAATCAGTTGTTGCCTTGTATACTCCCAAATCAAGAGTGCTCCACTCACATGAACATTCAGTGATCGAATGATACCCTGCTGAGGAATTTCCACACATACATCCAGATGCTGAATCAGGTTTGCTGGGATTCCCTCATGTTCATTTCTAATAGAGAGGAAATTTAAAATATGTAATGTTTTCACCCAGAAAAGAATTATTTCATGCTAGCTCCAAGGTGCACCTGTCTGGAGAAACCAGAGTGTCCCCACAACAAAAACAAGAAATGAGCTACAGTAGCAAACACCATTCACACTAGTTGTTGCCAGCTACACCCATCATGGGATACATTTCTTATACATGCAGTTGGCTTTTCTTTATAAACATAACCGATGAGCACAAAAGAAGAAAACCTAACCACTGCATAGCATTGAAATAAAAAAATATATAAAATACTAAAACTAGTGTCTTGTTTCAGCAGCAAATGTTAAATTTATTAAAACACTGAAGACAATGAAAACGAAACAGTGTAATAGTTTAGTCCCCTTTTTTTGCTGTAAGAAAATTCATATTTTGGTTAAATCACAGCCAAAATGAACTAATCTTATCCTAATAGTAGTTTTTCCCCATCTCAAACATAAAACTGATACACAGAGATCCTAAAAATCTGCTAGCCATGGAAAAACATAGAATTTGCATTTTTATAAAGAATCTTCCATTTTTATATTTTGTGAAAATAGTTAATATTTATTTTAACTACATTTTATTGAAAGTACCAGTCACACATTAAATGCAAATAACCTCTACCATCTTGTGATTGATTTTTGAATGTGCTTTAAATTTACTCAGGCCACATAAATGAAGTGCTTTTGGCATGTAGAGGTTACTCAATGTCATATTTTATTGCATCTGAAATTTCACTTCAGCCTCCAAATGTGAGTAATTAAAAGTTGTGAAAAGATGTCAATAGCTTTAAAACTCACGAACAACTGAGTCACAGTACTTGGCATGGACAAATTTCATGTTGATGCTAAACTTCAAACTTGCTTACAAATCTATATTTTACAGTGTTTGTCTGACTGTGAGTTTGTTTGTTCAAGAACTCCTTATCAGTAAGAGCTAGGACCACCATATTTGGTATGCAGCTTCCGCTAACTCTATCTTAAACCAAGGTCAGGGTTTGGTTGTCTCTGGAAAACAGGAAGTGCCAGGAATTAAACTATTTTCCATAACATGGAAAGGGAGGGAGCAGAGAATGTAGTGACATGAAAGGGAGAGGCACAAAGAGAGGAGATGTGATATTAGGGCTGTGTCCAGACTCAAGGGTTTTTTCGAAAAAAGTAGCCTTTTTTTGAAAAAACTTCACCTGCATCTAGACTACAGCCGTGTTCTTTCGAAATTAAATTGAAAGAACGCGGCTTTTCTTTCAACGGCGGAAAACCTCATTTCACAAGGAAGAACGCCTTTTTTCGAAAGTGCTCTTTTGAAAAAAGGCGTTCTTGAATGCAAACAGGGCTTTTTCGAAAGAGAGCATCCAGACTGCCTGGGTGCTTTCTTTCGAAAAAGCGGCTTGCTTTTTCGAAAGTACTGCTTGCAGTCTAGACGCTCTTTTTTGAAAAAGCCTCTTTCGGAAGAGGCTTGCAGTCTAGACGTAGCCTAAGAGTGGCCATTGGAGGGCAGCTGCAGCATCAAGACCAGGGCTGGGGCACCACCATCTTGCCTGGCTCCAGACAGTGAGTAACCCTCCTGCTCAAACACAGAGCCTGATACCTCAGGGGAGAGCCTGCAGGGAGACACTGGAGGAGGGGGCAGCCTCCCCAGACAGCCTGCAGGCTAAGGAGGGATACTTGAAGGGTGAGGGCACCCCTGGAGCCACCTCCCCACCATCTACCTGCAGTCTGCAGGAGGGGAGGGCCACTGGAGGCTACCCCCCCACAATAGGCTGTGGGTGGGGGCTGGATAGGAAGCAGCCCTCAGAGCCTTGCCTCCACCTCAACTGTCTGCAGGCCACAGGGAGGGCCACTGAAGGCCAGGGGTAGCCCCTTTAAACAGCTTGCAGGTGTGTGTGTGGGGGGGGAGTTCAGAAGGTGGGGGAAGCCCACAGAGTCTTGCCAGCTCCTCGCAGCACCTCTCTATACAGGATGCAGTATGGAGGAGGCCACTGCCCCAAGCAAGTCCCCCCCTCCCCCCATCTCCAGCTGGAGCAAGCTGTAGCCGGGGTCTCCCTTCCCAAACATGCTGCAGATGGGGGGCAGATGGAGGGTAGGGTCAGGCTACAGAGCCCCAACTTCCATCGGACAAGTGCACAGACCTGGATTTCACCCCCCCGAGCACAGCCCCATCCCCTTGATAGGAGCCACTGGCCAGAGAGCAATGCTCCCAGGAGGAGTGACTACTGGAGCAGCGCCACTCCACCTCCCTCATACACATCCCAGCTGCCTTGACTTCTGCACCCCACTTCCTGCCTTGAGCCCCCCCACCACACCTCTCAATGCCCCTACCCTAAGCCACCCATCCCGTGCCTTTCCTTACCCTCAAAACCTCACCCCAGCCTTCATTTTCCTTCGTTTTAAAAAAATATAATTGCAATAAATCTTGTCCATTTTTCATTTATTCCCCGTTCCCCCCCAATTACTTCAATTAAAGATCCAAGCAACTCTGGGTAGATTTGCTAGTCGTAAATATATCTATAAAACATTGTATTCACCGGATACCTATATACACATAGGTTAGGGAAACTAAAGTTGAGCATTTCATTTTAACCATGGAAAAATGCAGATTTTTATGTTTTTTCTATTGGAGATTTTTGGATTTTATAATGGAAAACTAAGATCCCAGCACAGATATTGCAGAGCAAGGGTGACATTTAATAGAACTGTAGCAAAGGTTGCACTAATCTCTGGAAGTGGCTTTAGCTAAAGCTATTGATTATTGATATTGCAGAGCAAAGCTGACATTTAATAGAACTGTAGCAAAGGCACTAATCTCTGGAAGTGGCTTTAGCTAAAGCTATTGATTATTCTGTCACAAAAACTTAAATCATTCAGAAATGGAAGATGCTGAATTATAATAGCACACTCAGTAGAAGGCATGCTTTACATATAACAATGACTGATCACAGTATTAATTCTCTATTAGTGCAGACACAAGAAAAGCAACAAAAAGCAAGGGATCCATTTCTTTATGCACAAATAACGTCTGATTCTGGAAAGATTTTTATCTTTCAGTATTAGCAGGGATGGACCAGCTAGGGGATACCCAATCACTAAATACTCGTGAATATCTTAAAAAAACAAAACAAAACATTACCACACTTGTCCATAGGATCAGGAGTTATCAAACTTCATTGCATTGCAACCCCCTTCTGACAACAAAAATTACTACACAATTGCAGGAGGGGGGACCAAAGCTAAAAGGCATCAGGCCCTGGCAGAGGGCCTATAACCTGAGCCCCACCACCCAAGATTAAGTCTTCAGGCTTTGTCTTCAGCCCTGGGTGGCGAGGCTCAAGCTTCAGCTTAGTCCCAAGCATGCCAGGCCTGGTGACCCCCTTAAAATTGGGAGAACCATTTCCACAGGTATCCAAGTCTGCTATTTCAAGTGAAAGCACATCCATAAGTACTTAACCCCCTTCTGAATCGGGTCACTGAAAATAAGATTGCATAGCTATGCTGAAGATAAATCAGTGTGTAACAGATCTGAAAACAAAGGTATTGTGGTAAAGGGGTGAGTGAAAGAAAGGTTGTCGCATTACAAAAGAGACTCAGGGCATTTATCACTATACTGTCATCTGAGACTTATTACTGGTTTTAACTTTAGCTCATTGGCAAGACAACCCCTCTGAAGCTCCACCCTAATAGCATATTCAGCTCACAAGAGGTGGGGGTCCTCTTGTTGCTCTGCACTGACTTTTGTGGCTGAGCAAACAAGTTAGTGTTATTGGGCACTAAAGTCTCATGCAACCTATCCAAGGACTAGTGCCATAGTGTGATGCCTTGAGGTGAGCTACAGGAGTCAGCACGATAAAACCTTCTTTAAATAAGATATTTGATCCATGGGGTTCAGTATTATATATCATCTCTCTTCTTCTCAACTTGATTTTCAAATTATTAAACCTGCTGATCACCAGGAAGGGTGACTTGATGGACCACAGCATGGGAATTACCGATACAGGTTGTTTATAACTTACCCCAGCAATAACAAGGATTTCTCTGGAAAGCAGTAGTCTGTCAAGTCAGAACTTTTAGCAGTTTGCTCCACACCTATGATAGTGTAGCCTTCAGTTTTCTTCTGCTGTAAATAATCAACAAGCTGAGATGGTTTCACCTGCATGTTAAGAATAGGGAGAAATGTACAAATATTTAA